CACATGTTGGAATGTGTAAAGTTGCCCCAGAGGTTCCTAAGCCTCTCCTCACTTTCTTGAATTCTTGTTTCTTCATTCTGTTTCAGTTGGGTTTTTATTTCTTCCTTTTGTTCCATATCATGATTTGAGTCCTGATTTCCTTCCCTTCACTGTTGGCTCCCTGTATATTTTCCTTTATTGCACTTTGTATAACCTTCATTTCTTCCTTCATTTTGTGACCAAAATCAATCATCCCGTCAGCATGCTGATTGCTAGTGTTTTAAACTGTGCATCTGATAGGTGGTCTACCTCCTCATCGCTTAGTTCTTTCTCTGGAGGTTTGATCTGTTCTTTCATTTGGGCCGTATTTCTTTGTCTCCGTGCGCCTGTTACACTGTAAGCGGCAGAGCCTTAGGTATCCTCCAGGGCAGGGCAACCTCTTCGCCGCCTTGTGCTGCTGTCCATGCGGGAGGGGTCAGAGAGGAAACAGTGATTCTTGCTCGGCTCTTGTCTGGCTTTGAGTCATTTCCCTCTGCTGCCCACAAGCAGGTTTTGCCCTTTCAGGTGGTGATTCCTAGGAGGATAATTTTCTGTATGTTCTAGGACCACGTGGGCTTCTCCTACGAACACTCCTGTGAGCCTGGGAATTTCTCCCACTGCCACAAACCCCACGGATATGTCCAGCCAGAGGTTTTGAGTTTTTTGTTTCCTATCCTAAAACCCTAACTTTTGCTGTCTGTCTCCCTCCCTAGTTGTTCTTCCTGGCTTTTCCATGGACCATGGGAGAATGCCTGGTCAGCCAGACCCTGCCGCTCCCGCATACTCCACAGCTTTGCCACGTGTCCTCCCTGCCCCAGCTACCCTTTTCTGCCCCTCCTGCCAGTCTGGATGAAAGTTTCTTTAACTCATTGGTTGTCGGACTTCCATGCAGTTGGACTTTCTGGCAGTTCTGGTTGCTTTTTGTTTTTAAATTGCTTCTTTATCCTTCTTTTGGTTGCACAAAGAAATAAAACGTTTCTACTGATGCTTCTATTGTAGCTGGAACTCTAAAGTGCTTCTACAGTTTTTTGTTTCGCTTCTTCTATAATGACAAAAAAAATTTTCCCTTTGAGGACTTTTTTCATCCAGGAAAGCAAAAAAAAAAAAGAAAGGTGCTCATGGCAAGACCCAGTGAGAAGGGAGGGTGAAGCATGGGGGTCAGGCCACTTTTCATCAAAAGCTGCTGGCCATTCCGTGCAGCGTGGACCGGAGCACTCATAGATCACCCATTATGAAACAGGTAAACATGACAGAGTCCTCACAAAAAATCACTGAAGCCGAATGCAGACCCTCACAACAAGGCAAGTGTGTACACTGACAGAGATGGGTTCCTAGAACACTCACTCAGTGGGGAAAGCCTGTCCTACAAGGGTCCTGCCATCCAGAATATTTCCTGGTTTATTTGGGTCCCCCCCTCATATTATAGAATTGTACATAGGAAATGTATATAATTTTATTGACCAACTTAACCCCAAAATTCAATTCATGAAAAAACTAAGTAAAAAAGAAGGGAGACACTGTAATAAGATAATTTTTTCACAGGAATCACTTTTCACAAATTCTTTACCTGTTCATGCAAATTACTTTTATGTAAGTGTGAGTTTAAATTTTTAAAACTATACTTTTTCAGTCATTTTAGAGTCTGAGAAATATTAAGAAAAATGTACACAGATTTCCAATGGACCTCCTACCCAACATACACACAACATCCTCTGTTATGTTATGAACTTCCCCACAAGAGTGGTGTATTTCTTACAACTCATAAATCTGCATTGATCTCCTAAAACTCACAGTGAATGGTAAGGTTTACTCTTTGTGTTGTACATTCTACAGGTTTACACAAATGTATAATGTCATGTATCCATCATGAGAGTATCATTGAGATAGTTTCGACAACCTACAATTTCTCTGTGCTTTTCTTGGTCCTCCTTCCTGCTCCCCTGAAACCCAGACAACAGCTGGTCTTTTTACTGTCTCCATAGTTCTGCCTTTTCAATTAAGTCATATGGTTGGAGTCATATAGTATGTAGTCTTTTCAGATTGGCTTCTTTACTCAGTAATAAACACTTAACTTCTCCTTATCTGCTCATGGCTTGATAGATCATTTCTCTTCATTACTAAATGAAGAGAATTGATTAATACATTGTTTGGATGGACCACTATTTATCCATTCACCTACTGATGGACATTTTGGAGCTTCCATGTTTTGACAACTTAGAATAAAGCTTGCTGTAAACACCTATGGGCAAGTTTTTGTATGCACATTACTTTTCAGCTACTTTGAGTTAAATCCCAGGAACACCATGACTTCATTATATGGTAAGAATATGAGTAGTTTTGTAAGAAACGGCCAAACCACTTTATTGAAATATCTTACATATGTGTGTATATCTATTCATGTACTTTCATTTTATAACAATTCACCAAGAAAGTTTACTGCTCCCCTTGGCTGCACATCAATGCCCCAGAGTTGAAAGCACGAGCAGGCACAACAGGTGGTCCTGACAACGGCTTTGCTCACGCACCCCCTGCCATGACCATGGACCTGAGCCCGCATGTGCTTCTCGCCTCTGTCCGGCTGCCCCATGTATCTCCAAGGCTCACACAGATGTTGTGTCCATCTATGGGACTTCCCTTATACAGCACAAGTACAGAGATAAAACTATGGAGAATGTCAAGAAAGGGATAACAGAATATTAAACCAAGGACAGGATTCCTTCTGCAACTGCACTGGTCACATGCCCAGGAAGCTGGATGTGCTCCCAGCTTCACTGGACTCTCCATTTGTCTTCCTCTTAATTTTTTGGTTCCTAGTCCTTCTATTAGTGTCCTTACATTATAATAAAGACAGTGCAGCTTGGAATTCCATTGTTCCACATGCAAGTTTCAACTTCAGGTTTGGTGACCAGAAGTCTTACTCTGTGGCTACAACATATAAGGGTGTTTTGAGGGGGAGTCTTGGGAGCTCCCCGCATGCTTTCCCAAACCTGAGTATGTTACAATAGCATGAATAACAAATTCACTCAAGAGGCAAGGAAGGGTGATGATATTTAATAGAACAGAAAGAAGATTTTCAGGAGCTCTTTCATACAAGGTGCTATCTAGGTGTGCCCTACATGTAATCCTCACACACTGCTGGTGGGAATGTAAATTGATGCAGCCTCTATGGAAAACATTGTGGAGGTTCCTCAAAAAATTAGAATAGAGCTCCCATCTGATCCAGCAATCTATCATTTGGGTATGTATCTAAAGAATTTGAGAACACTGATTCTTAAAGATGTATGTACACCTAAGTTCACTTCAGCAATATTCAACAATAGTTAAGATATGGGAAAAACCTTAGTTTCTTCTATGGGTGATTAGATAAATATTTTCGGTACCTATATACAATGGAATACTATTCAGCCATAAGAGAGGAGGAAATACTGCCATTGTCAAGAATGTAGATGGGTCTTGAGAGTATTATGCCAAATTAAATGAGTCAGACACAAAATGACAAGACTCACATGACTTCACACATATGGAGGACATGAAACAGAAATCAGCAAGTGAACAAAAGAATACTCAGACATAGACAACATATGGTAGAGACCAGAGGGAAACGGTGTTCAGGCAAGATTATTGTCCTCTATAAAATTAAATAAAAAAGGGGGGCAAATTGTATGGTGACCAAGAGAGACTAGACTTTTGGACGTGAGCATACAATGCAACATACGAGTGATGTATTATGAAATTGTACACCTGAAACTGATATGATGTTATTAACCAATATCACCTCAATAAATTTAATTTTTAAAAATGAACTAAATGGATATTGTATTACTGATGTGTATAAACACATTGTACAAATTTATCAATAGCAGGCATTTGAATTAGATACTTGAAAGATTTCCATATGAAGTAGCTCAAAGTATAAGCTCTCATATCACCCAAACTTCACCAACTTAATAATAATGTTGATTTAAAGAAGTCCCTTATACTCAACAACCTTCACTTTATCCATGCATAAAATCAGAGAGTACATATTTACAGGGTGTCATCAGTACTAAAAATAATATATGTAATAAGCTACAGTGCTTGCACCTCAACAAAATTATTTGTCTTATATTTGTGTATATCCTGGAGTATAGAAGCTTAATACAATCTATAAAATCTATTATACACCCTCTCTTCCTTTTTCCTTGAAAGTACAACCATCCACAGTCATCTCTATTTGTTGATCACCCTATATTTTTCCAACCCTTTTCCAGCAGAGTAATTTGCATGTCATATATGTGTAATTTGCAAGGGGATATGTTTTAAAAGGAAATTAGATATTGTCACCCTTGACAGTTGTTTTAGTCATTTTATATTAGAGCTTTTTACCTGTAAATTGATTTCAGGGAAGAAATAAGGCCAAAAAAATGAAATGACAGTAATGGAAAGTAAAATTTAAGGGCAAAAAAAATGTTTTGGAACATAAATTTGAAAACCCAAAGATGTTCAATGCTAAATAAAAGGTCAAAAGGCCTGACCCATGGAAGGGGTGGAGCTTCAGGCCCAGCTGCAGTTTGGGTACAGGCTGCACATCACCTGAGAGCACTGTGCCTCCGCCGCACAGAAGTAAGTGGCTGAGTCTTCCAACTGAGAGTTTGTGATGTGCAGGGTACTGTACAGGTCCTTAAAATTTATTGTGGAGCTTAACCTTCCAAATTGCTTTGACCCTGAAGTCAAGTAAAATAAATTGATGAGGCCACCACCAGGATTCTGTCGGAACCACTGCACATAGGTCACGGTGGTAGAAAAATTGCATCTCAGAGTAGAGTTGGTTCTGTCCTGGAGGCTCAGGGCTGAAGGACTCTGCTCCACCTTCAGCCCTCTCACCCCTGCTTGGAAAGAGAAAAACAGACACAAATGATGTCACTGGGGGGTGAATGATGCATTTTTCAAACCTGTGAAACATCCCAAGAAACACTCAAGTGGGGCCATCTCAGAACTCTGTGTCAGGTCTCCCTCCTTCTCCCTCTGTCAGCTGTGGACACTCCCGCTCCGGGGCCCCATCTGGGACGGCCCCAACTCACAGCCAACCTGGGCCCACAAAAGCCACAGCAGAGATCCCAGGTGTCTCTTCATGACTTTTTGCCCCTGCTCTGGAGGATGTAGGGTCCTGGACTCAAGCAAATTTTGTTTCTTCAGTAAATATGCTCCACAAGGCTCACTGAACGCCAGTCACATCTGTGCTCTGAACAGCAAACTCCACCCACAGTGGCCAACGAAATGCACAGTCATCTCTCCAAAATCCTGAGTAACAACAGTGCAGGAGGGTAAAGGACAATATATACAATGTATGGAGATATACATTTGGTTTTTTTTTTAATAATTAACGTATAAGAAGTTTGTGAGATAATGTGTGAGGAATGGTGGATATTTCTGGAAGAATCGTTGTCTTGGATATAACATATGATCTTAAAGAATCCTAAGAAGTGTGACCCCTATTTCCCAAATTGCATGGATTGATAGAGAACTTGAGAATTGAGTTATATGATTATTCTGATAAAGGAAAGCTGACAACATGTGTTGTGTATTGCACAAATTTAATCCATTTTTTTAAGTCTGTAGAGTCCTAGAAACCAAGGCATACAGACACTATCTGCATTAAATTGATTACAACAAAATTAGCCTGATGAAAATTAGAATACTTTTGTAATGTCTACTCTGACCTAATTTCCACCTCTCCCATTCCCATCCCCACCTTGGGCACCCTGCTGACCCACACGGCCAGTTCTGGTCCAACCACACTATGCTTGTCGAATTAAATATTGTCCTTTCCCTTTGTTTCCGTTTTTCTTTTCTTTTTCTCCAGTTTTCTATTTTTGTTTTTAATTTGTCCTTGTTCCTTCACCTTCCACAGAGATATATCAAAAGGTAGGATATTTGGGGTGTAGGAATAATGCTGGGTCAGTGGGTTTGGGGAATTTTAGTCATAACAATTAAAAAATTAAAAACAGGTTATCGAGATTTTTTCTGTTGAGCTTCCATGCTCACAAGGACCAGCAACATCCTCACTCCTGTGACTCGGCACAGAGAACCGCTCTCACAGTGCATGGACAGCACGTGGAGTCCAGCTTTGTGCAGTTTACACTGAGTGGCAGAGCTGAAAAACGGAGCTGAACTTCACCCAGGCACTGTGAACCCTCTCCTCATCTGTGCTGTCTATAATTTGACTGGCTCACATGCTCACTGGTCTCCTTTCTTAAGGGCTCGCTCAACCCTCAGAACCATGATAAAGTTATTTTTTGTAAAGCCTGCCTTGCCCCCTAGGGGCCCAAAGCCATCAGTAAAGAGGACTTTAGACCTGCTGACTCACCAGTCACACTGCCCCAGCCTCACTCACTCCTGGTTTCCTGATGGAGGAAATGCAGATCCTTAGAAAACAAGGTAACTCCCTACAATGAAAGGAGATAAAAAATGAACCAAATCCGCCTATATGATCTTATTGACCAATGTTACTCCAATCACTTAATTTTAAAAAGAGCCAAATCCTATTTTTAAAACATCATTTCATGAAAATTATTTTTTTAAGATTTATTATTTTACTATATTTTAAATTTTAATTTATTTTTTTAATTTTCAAATACTTTTGTCTCCATTTACCCACCACCACTTTCCCCTGCCCCACCCACCCCCACCTCCCTCCCTCAATCCTTCCCCACCCTGGCTTCCTCCATGTGTCCTCCACACCCTTCCTTTGTAATGGGGCACAGCCAGGGCCCCCGTTAAGGGTATTTGTAATGGGGTTCCGAGATTGGGGTGTTCAAGAAAAATACATTCTCCCCACCCCAGGGCAGACTGCCATGGGGGATGGGAACCTTCAGCAGGGCCATTGAGACTCATTTAATATGTCAATAACAGGATAGCTTCATTCTTCATATGCAAAGAGGGTTATTTTGCATATCACCAAAGCTAATCAGGAAGGTTTCAAAACTTAATAGAAAATGTAACAGAGAGAAAGAGAGACAGGGGCCTGCAGGAGAGACAAAGGGACACAGACTCTGGGGAACAGTGTGAAGACCGCGCAGGAAGAAGGGGGGGAGAAAGGACTCTTGCTAGTGGGCCAGGAGAAGGTGCCACATGGTTATGGATTAAGAGCTGGAGATCGCGGCGACACAGCGGATGGTGCTGAGACCCGGAGAGGCCTGCCTAGCGGAGCCCCGGACTTCTGTTCTTTTTCTTCTGAAGGACGGTACCCCTGACTGGCCTGACTGGGCAAAGGGGGGAAGGCAGGACGGTGTGTGTGCTGGTGATTGTTTTGAAGGGATTTTGAGGTTTAAGGGTGACATTTAGCCATTAATCAAACCTGTAAAACTTTTGAATAAATAGTTCCTTTTCCTTTTCACAAAACTCTGTCATTCAGAGCCATAATTCCAAGGGCCGCAGACAAAGGACCCACAACCGAGAGATCCTGGGGAAGGAGGGTGTCGTTGTTTCAGTAACAGCATCTGGGCATCCCCCACTCCACGGGTCCTTTTGTTCGGTAACACTTTGATCTGACCCTTTTCTTTCCCCTCCCTACTACCCACCTCCCTCCATCCCTCCCATCCCTGTCAGTTTCTTCTTTCTTTCAAAGTTGCTTGGTCATATTTTCCTTGCCTGCTTGTTTTGCTGGTTAGGTTCCACTTATAGATGAGATCATATGGTATTCATCTTTCACTGCCTGGATTATTTCACTTAGCATAATGTTCTCCAGTTCCATCCATGCTGTTGTGAAGGGTAGTAGCTCTTCCTTTCTGCTGTGTAGTATTCCATTGTGTAAATGTACCATAGTTTTTTGATCCACTCATTTACTGATGGGCACTTAAGTTGCTTCCAGCACTTAGCTATTGGGAATTGTGCTTCTACCAACATTGGGGTGCATAGATACTTTTGAATTGGTGTTTTGGGATTCTTAGGGTATAATCCCAAGCAGTGGAATTGCTGGGTCAAAAGGAAGTTCCATTTTTAGCTTTCTGAAGAAATTCCATTTATTTTTAGAGAGGAGAAGGGAAGGAGAAAGAGAGGGAGAGAAAAACATCAATGTGTGGTTTTGCCTCTCATGCCTCCTACTGGAGACCTGACCTGAAACCCAGACATGTGCCCTAGACTGGGAATCGAACTGGTGACCCTTTGGTTGCAAGCTGGCACTTAATCCACTGAGCCACACAGCCAGGACTGAAAATTATTATCTTAAAATAATTTCACAAACCACATCTTGTGCTTTTTACCTGTTTAATGTGATTGTAATGAATCTGTAAAAATTTATTGAAATTTTAGTGTAAATGCAGTAATTAACTAAACCTTAAGAATATATAAGAGAATAACATCCAAAGTAAAGGCCCCTGGGGAAGACAAAAATATAGATAACTACAATATAGTCAGAGGATGACCCCAAGGGAACTGAAAACTCAGGGATGTGGTCCCAGAGGAAGAAAACTGCTTATACCTGGGGTGGGTGAGCAAAATCTTATGAAGTATGTTAGGTGCCATTTTCTCCTTTTTCCCTTTATTTGTGAGAAGATTAAAGAATATGCTTAAACCTTTATAATGGCTTATGACTATTTATTAATTTTAACAAGAGGAAGAAGTCTTGAATATGTGAATTATTAAAAGTGATAACACATTACATGTAGACTAAACTCCCCTTTGAATACCACCCTCAATTCCCACTCTTCCATCACTTATCACTCCAATTCTTCATCCTGACCAATTTGGCGTTGATACTTTTGGGTTTATTTACTAAAAATTTAAATCAACAGAAAATATATAGTATTTTATTTATGTTTTATTATAATACAAACAGACATGTTGTGCATACATTGCTATAACTTGTTTTATAAACTCAATTTTATATAACAGAGACTAAAATTTAAGTCTCTCTTAACGCACACAGATCCTTCTGCTACAGCATTTCCCATATTAAGGATATACTACTGTGTAAATAGCCCTTCCGAAGTGGACAAACAGTTAAAATGTTGATTTTTATCAATGAAACACAACACTACAACAAACCTTTCTGAGCAATTCACCCTTATTCCCATCCACACATGATTCTCTAGGAGCAGAGACTAGGACGAAGTGGAGGAGTGAGCCCTGAGGCCAGTAGGTGAGAGTCACTCCAGGCAGAGGGAAGATCGGGACAAAGGCTCTGAGGGAGAAAGGAGCAAAGTCCTGTTCTGATTATTGTGTTGGATGGTTCTCTACTTTATTCTGCTAAACTGCATTGAAATGTAATTTAAGAGCAGAGTTGATAGACTTTCTCTGAAATTACTGTCCTACCATACCGCTGGTGTGTCTTTGTTCAACCAGACACTGAGGTCATTCAAAAGATAGTAAATCAGCAAGAGAAAAGGTAATCCCCTGTTGGGAACCATCCCACCTGTTTTCAGGGACCGTAGTCTTACCTACAGGCGAAAAGGCCTCAAGGCCAGAGCTGAGCAAGGAGCCCTTGGGAAAATAGGCCACTGAGGAGACAAAACCTGTCCCTCTGTCAGGACTGCAGCTCCTGCCTCCCTCACATCACCCTGTTTGGCCCCGGAAGATGCCTGGTTAGTCACAGAGGGGTAAGACCTCTCGATGGCAGGGGCAACCTAACACAGGCACAGTCGCATAGGGGCCATCAGGAAAAGAATTGGGGGACACAGAGAAGGGGAAAAAGACCCTCACCACTCAGCTCTGTCACGGCCAGAGTCCTCATTCTATCTGACAGAAGTCTTATCTCGTGGCTGCTCTGCTCCGCTCTCCTGGCTCAGGCTTGAAACAATACTTAAGGCAGGTACAGCCCTAAATTGGATCAGGCAGTTCCCAGGGAGAAATCAGGTCTGGAAAAGGAATGTATTAAATCCTATGAAACTTTGCTAAGAATGCCCTCAAGTTAATGAGCCCTGATGTTTGCACTGAATATTGAATGGGATCAGTTTCCCAGATTTCAGGGCTGAATGGGCACCACCCTGTCTACAAGACCCTGACCTGAGGCAAATCTCTTGTATTCCTTCAATTGTTATCTATGCTCTCTATTTGTTTTATGTAAACATAGCCTTTTGACATTGATTGATGAGCTTTGCATCCATGCTGTATACCCCTGCCCAAATGGTTCTCAAAAAAAGCCACTTCAGGAGATGGGCTTAGGGCATTCTCCATGAGAGGGAATCACCCCCTCCTTTTCCTAATAAACTGAGAAATGTCTAGAACGACTTATTTTATTTTCACTGTCTGTGGAAACCCAGGGAGACTCTGCAGGAATGGGGCACCCCCATCATTTGGTACCCACACAGGAACGCCCCTAAATCCCAAAAGAATGATATAATAGAAGGAAATGTTATAGAATAACATACACACAGAAATAATTTAAGGATAATGGGATAATGGTCTAAGAAGAGAAAACTTACATTTTTCAAATCAGCAGAGAGAAAAAAGAAATTTTTATCAATGAAACAGGAGACTAAAAAGAAAAAAAAAGCATGGGAAGCAAAACCAAAACATTAGCAATAGGTCCAAATATATCAGTAATCAAAACATATACAAAAGCATTTGATTGAGTCAAAATTTAAAAAGTCTTGTTGCATATTGCTTAAGAAAAAATACTTAAAAGAAAATGCTATATCCAAGAAGCTGAGCACATAGGGTGGGATTCTTCCAGATGCTCCCTTGTGACGAGAATGAAGCCTCTACCGACCCACTGTATCCAACACACCTTCCAAGAGTCATCCCAAAGGAAGGCTGATTCTGCTGAAGGGGCCAGGGGACTCCAAGAGAACACCAAGTCAGTGAGCGAAGTTAAGTCCTGCACGATGAGATCTAGGAAAAAAGAATAAAGACAGAGTTTCCAAAAGTTAATCTTCAGATACAAAACAGGAATGAAAGGAAAGCTGGCAGAGACAAAACAGGAAAGAGAAATTAAGAGTTACAGAAAACGATGAAATCAAAGTTAAGAAAATCCTGTATGTTTCTGTGGCAAAGAATAAAGAAACCAAGTGTTCATAACAGCTATTACATTTTTATCAGTGGTCCGTCGACACTCATTGTTTCACAACTTGCAACCTTTTATGAACTCTGTATAAAAGCATATTTCTAAACCTCAAAACACAGTCAGAAAAGGTGAAAAACCCTAATGATCAAAACTGTGTGTAACATTTTTGTGCACAAGCACTTAGTAAAATGTTGAGTCTAGGCAGGCTTTAATGCTCTGGCTTATAACCTCACATTTATTTATGCAAGGGCCATTTTTAATATCTTATTATATAAAATATGACATGAAAAAATTTGGAGTCATACAATAGCCTAAAGATTTTAATACTTTATCTGTTTTTATTTCCATGTTTTAGCACATTATTTCCTAAATGAAAACATTCCTTTGTATTCAATATCCTTGTATGTATGGAAGTCTAATATGCCCAACAACTCTATTAATATGCTTAAAAGATTGGAAATTTGTATTAAGTGTACTGTATATTTGATGTTCAATAATAAAATCCACCAGAAAGGATCACACAGTCATAGACACTCATTGGCCAGAGTTTTCCCTCAGCTCCCCCTGCAGTTTCTGTCACTGTGTCACTCAGAGCACAGAAGTACGTTGCCGAATCTGACTCCTGGACTGAGGCTTTCTCCAAGTGGAAGGAGTTTGGTTCTTTGCGATATGTGGCTTCAAAACCGCTGTTGCTTCCCTTCTCATCGGCCCTCGTGGCTCTCAGGAGGAGCTGTGGGCCTTCTCCAGGATACTGAACATACCAGAAGAGAGTGGGATAACCTGTGGTTTCATAGGAGCAGTTCACAGTCAGGGAATCCCCTTTAAACAGGGTCACTTGGCCTTCCGCCTGGGTCACTGAGTCTCCATGTGTTCGTCCTGGGGAAAAATAAAACTCTGCCACCTTAGATATAAAGTTCTCAAATGAAATCAAAGTTTAAAAAAGTTGCTGACAGAAGTAAGAATCCATTTTTAAGAGGCATGTTACTTACCAAGCACTAAGAGTACCACAGTCACTAAGCCTGGGGCAGAGTTCATCTCCGCAGTGTTGCCTGAATAATGTTCTTGATACTTCACATGAGGGAATGTTGGACTCACAGTGAAATGCTAAGTCAAAGACTACATTTCACCAGGAAATGTGTTTACATTAGGAAGCATCACCCCCTGGTGGACAGGGACTGACAGAATGTTTCTTAGGTTCCTCCCCAAATAGCAGTACATTCTCAACTCTGATTTTATTTATGAGGCACATGTCTATCTTCAGATAATGCTTAGAAACCTGAACAACAACTGTCCTACGCTCTCAGGTCTTTTTCTTATAGAACAATACCTGACATGGAAGAACTTTAACACAGCATGCAGGGTAGTATTCTTTGTAGTTAGAAAGCATAGATTTTCTCAAGCATTTTAATACAGTACATTATATTTTCATGTATCCATTGTGGACCTGCTTTTAAACCATCAAATGTTAGAAAATGGTTTGGGGCTGAAATCAGAGGAAGTAACACGAAGTCTAGTTTTGGCTGAGTAATTCTTAACTTTTCAGCATTGTACATAATATAGAACAGTGACCAACATTTATTACATATGTAGTAAATATTTGTTACATTAAACAGAAATAAACAGTCTTCCATTGAGGATTCACTACTACATGACATACAACATTTTCTCAGTCTTCAAATATTATCAATGGTAAGAAATGCTATCTTTTTAATAAAATTTTTCTGGAGAAAAAATCAAAAGTGAAATTATAAATGAATAAAGAGAGATCTTAGAACAATATCTTCATCTCCCACTATTTTGGTTCTTCCAAGATAAGACGGCTAACCAATGTGAGTCGAGCAAGGAATACTAGTCCTATAGCCTTAATGAAGATTTAGAGTCAAAAATGCTTTCTACCACCATTTATCTGCCACAATCTGTGCCCAAACTTTTATGACATAATTTCTCCCAAAGCGTAGAGAACCCTGGAGATGTGGAAATGTATGAATAGCCTGGAGCACAAGTTAGAACTTTCTCCTTTATCGTCTATCTAATCATTAAAGATATAGCACCTATTATTCATACAACACCTGATAGCAGAATCAATGTGAGTGATTTAAAGTTACAGATCCTGGAATCTCAACATAAATTTCAAGAAACATATTTTCCAGGATTGAGACCCATATGAAAATTTTAAAAACTCCCCCAGGTGGTTTTCTTACATTGAGCCTGATACCCATTTGAAAGATTTCATTTGTGATAACTGTCTAAGACCAAGGTGACTCTGGGAAAAAGTCCTGGGATCTGCGTGGGGAAATGTCCCTATGGCAACACAAATTTTTAAAAACTAGCCCTTTTCCATTACTGCCAGCAACAAAGGCAAGCAATTCTTTGGTTCATTTTCTATGATCTACCATTTTATAAAACAAAACCAAAAACCACTGAGAATTATCAGGGTAAAGTTCTGGAGAGGGACAGATCTCTGTCAACATTTATCCACAGACAAAGATAGAAGCTTAGTTCATGCTGTTTCCTGGAGTTCTCTTTACACAGACTCAAATCAAGGTGTTTCATGAGTCCTTGAGTCGACCTGTGAATAGATACCCAGATGTGAACTTAAATCCAGGCCCAGATGCTTAACTTCTCCTCCAACTTCCAATTTACATTCTCAGAACTGACCACAAGACCATGCTAGAAAGGAATTCTGAAAAGGTAGCTATGAACTTGTATTCTGATGTACAAGGAATAACCAAAGTAAGTTGGGATAAAGTTGGGTTTAAAGTAAACGATACAGCACATGGGTATACAGAGTTGTTACGTATACTTTAAAAAACACATAATTTGGCCCTGGCTGGAGTGCTCAGTGGATTAAGCATCGGCCTACGAACCAAAAGGTCACTGGTTTGATTCCAAGTCAGGATACATGCCTGGGTTGCAGGCAAGGTACCCAGTGGGGAGCACATGTGAGGCAACCACACATTGATGTTTCCCTACCCCTTCTTTCGCTCCCTTTCTCATAAAATAAATAAAATCTGTCGTTTTAAAACACACATAATTTAAACCCAATGAGAACCAAAAGAAGACACATTTTTTTATTTTGTGTTGCACAAGAAAACTTGTACAGCATGAAGGAAAAATACTTGTTAAATTTTAATACTAATGGTTTTGTAAAGGCATAATCTTCAAGCACCTATTTATTGTAAACAATTTTATAAGATATTAGATTTTTTTATGTACTTGTGAAGCCATCACCGCAGTCAAGATAATGAATACAGGCCTCACCCCCAAAGCTCCCCACGTCTCCTTGGAATTCTTCCCTCAACCTTCTCCCCACAACCTGTCCCTACTTTCAGACAACATCTTTGTCACAAATTACTTTGCATATTTTATAATTTTACATAAGTAAAAATCATATGTTCTCTTTTGCCTGGCTTCTTTTTCTCAGCATATTTTGAAATTCTTCCATGGCCTCATCAGTATCAATAGTTCATTCCATTATGTTATTCAGTAGTATTCCACCATATAGAGATAAAATAATTTGTTTGTATATTCAGCTGCCCACACACATTTTTGTCTTTCCCAGTTTTGGACTGTTACAAACAAAGCTGCTATGAACATATGTGTATGAGATACACATATGCTTTCATTTCTCTTTGGTCAAGACCTGAGAGTAGAATGGCTGGGTTATATGAAAGATTTACAACTGAATTTGTTAAAATTAATTACTTGTTCTAGTAGCACTTTTGTACATATGCTTAGATTTTCTACTAGATAACTATGATGTCTATGAATTAGGATAGATTCACTTCTTCACTTCTGAACTGCATGTCTTTTGTTTCTTTCTCTTGCCTTATTGCACTGCCTAGAATGTCTTGGACAATACTAAACACAGGAGATGAGAGCCAAAATTCCTGACCTTCGAGGGAAAGCATCCAGTCTTTCACTACCAAGTATGACATTAGATATAGGGTTTTTTGGAGAGGACTTTCATGAAGTTGGAGAAATTGCCTTTGATTCTGAATTTGCTGGGAGTTCGTAATGAAGAATGGAAGGAAGATTTCTCAAATGCTTTTTCTATACCTACTGAGGTTACCCTCACTAATTGATCATCTGCTCATTATCAATCTTTTTGAATATATTATTAATTTACCTCTAACATGAAAAGAAATAACATTTTAAATAAAAAGCATTGTGGTTAATAATGTTTCACTCAGTCAAAACATGAAGATGAGGCAGAGAGATTTGTCACAAGCTATCTATACATTATGCATACATCTGATACCTTTGTGCATTCTATAAATAATAATAATATAGCTGATAAATACTTATAAAAATGTCCCTTTATAGCCCATAATGGAAAGAAAAAGGACAAGTCTAGGAATAAATTTTATTGGCTTAATATAACAGAGCTTTATTAAGAAACAAAGACATGTGTAAATAAAAATTGTACATTCTTCGATAATGAAATAATCAACTATACATATTTAAGTCATCTTCTGATATTCACAAATCAATTTATAAATTTAATTCTACCACACAGCTTAAATTAAAATTATGAATAAATACCAGAATTCACCTTTTGTACTTTAACAAACATCTATTGATTATCAACTATGAGAAAAAATTTGTGGTAGGTATTGAGGCTATAGCAGTAAATAATAAACAACTCTGTCTTCTAAATTCTATGAGAAACTAAATGTGAACAAATATGTACAGAATTTGGTAAAGAGTATTGTTTTGTGAGTTTTATTAGAAGCTCACATTCTCAAATCACTTCCAATCTTGATTGCCTCAAACACACAAATGATACATACCATCAGCGAGCTCTAGGAAAAAAAACAAAAAACATGTCATATTTTATTAACCAGAAAGTGTACAGAAAACATAGAAAAGACTCAGATTTTGCCACAAATGTAGACAAAGGAAATTAATATAAACTGTGATTTCTTAAAATCTCTCACAGAGCTATTAAAAAGTAGGTTTTGCAGGAGAAGACTTGATGAAATGGAAAATGCTCAAGTCAAGGTATATAATTCAATGAAAGAATTATGATTCTAATTACAATAAAAATTGATGCAAAAATTAATTAAGGTATCAACTATTATCTGACTACATAATTATCAACTTCATATTTTTGTACTCTACATAATTTATACATTTAGCATATAATTACTTTTAATAGTAAAATTAAAAATGCTGTTTTGAAAACACAATATTTAAAAACTCGTCCATAATAAGGATTGTGATAGTGACGCTAAGTGTTTTTTTAATAGGACAGGAGTCGATACATCACATATAAAATAATCATTAAAGCCTTAATTTTAAAATTAAACATTGCTAACTCACTTCAAGAATTCATTATGCAACAGTCTATCTGAAAAAATGTTTAACACTTTCTTCATGATCTTGAAACTATCCTTTTTATTAAGTGTTTTCAACATACAACACATTAGTTTCCACTTGGAGATAGTTTACATACAGGATTCGGGTTCGTGGGAAGCAATGTGCGCGCTGCACAGAAGTACACAGCTGAGTCTCCAGGTTGAGTGTTTTCGATGTGCAGGGAGAAATGTTTGGCTTTCTCATACAAAACAACAGTGAGTCTTTCTTGCTTCCTTTCATTCATATTTGAACGAATGTATGTAATGAGCTCTGGACCTTTTCCAGCCTCTTGCTTATACCATGGAAAGTACTCTGATGCACTGTCTGAGTAAGAACAGGTGATGACAGAGGTGTTTCCCTCTGGGACACTCAGGATAGGAGGTTGCTGATCCACTTTCTCTCCTCGGCTGACACCTGCACAGCAAGAAAGATTCAGAGAAAGGAGAAGAGTGACCAGATTAATATGTTTCAGGATTTTCTTTCTCTTTAGTAACTAAGGAAACCCAACTAAAGCCACGCTTGGCTCCTAAGGAATACCCACTGATACACTCTATTCCCCATTCACGATCAACTCACAGGCCAGCTGCAGACAAAAGAACAAGAAAAGGGCTCCAATGGATGTCTTCATTCTTCTTACTTAAGGCCAAACGTGGACCTGCAACCTACAGCCAGGGGACCTACTGCTGTTACCAAGTTCTCTCTTTTTGTCT